CTCAAAGGAGTGGGCAGAAGTATATTTATATTAGCCCACCTCTTCTCCTGCAGCCTTATTCCATCACTTCTTATTCATCAAGAAAATTATTCTTAATTTCTTAAAAAGAAATGTCTCCAACAACACTGAAACTTACAATTCCTTTAAATTTAAAACCTTTGAAACTTTAGACAGTTTTATTTTAAAAGATAAAATTTCAKTTTTCAAGTTTGCCCTTAAAACCTGCTGTTTATGATTGAAGATAAAAATATTTTGTAACACAGCTTAAGCATTTTCATTATTTAAGAGCAGAACGAATCGCATCGTGGTGAATCGATTCAGAACCTTATGAATCMAAACAGAATTGATTTAGGGAACTGACCACGATACCCAGCTCTAATAAAAACACAAGCAAAAGAATTTCCAACTGTTTCAACAATCTTTAATTTATCTCTGAACATTTGTTATGAAAAGTAAAGCCTGAAGTGTGTGTTTCAGAACCAGTCTCTGTCCTGCGAGGCCCGGTCGGTGCGAGCGTACCGGGACGAGGTGGACTCTCTGAGGGAGCGAGCGGCTCGAGTTGATCGTCTGGAGGCTGAACTCGTCAGATGTAAAGAGAAGCTCAACGACGTTCACTTCTACAAGACCAGAGTGGAGGTACGCATGGACCAACATCATTATTTTCTTTATTCTGCTGTGAAACTTGAGCTTCACTGTTAACTGAAGAGCGAGAAGTCCTGTGTGAGGTCACCGAACATGGCACCATCTGTCAGTGCAACCTGACAACCAGTCTGACTCCAGTAGCCCCTCCCCTCTCACATGTTAGCCACCATCTCATAAAAACYTCAACTTTTACAGTCTCAGATAATGTGACGCAACACAAACGCTAAATAAAGCCCAGCTGCCTCTGACAGTCCAGCTGACGTCTCTCTGTGGTTCTGCAGGAGCTTCGTGAGGACAACATGACTCTGCTGGAGACCAAGGTGCTGCTGGAGGAGCAGCTGTCCGCCTCCAGAGGGCGCAGCGACAAACTGCACACGCTGGAGAAGGACAACCTGCTGCTGCGAGCTAAAATCAACGACCTGGAGATGGTACAGCACCACACGGACATTTGAATTGAAGCGAATCAAAACAGACATCTGAAAAATGTATCAGTGTGCTGACATAAATSTTAATCAAATGATGCCATTTTTATAAATGTCAYCTTTAATTTGTGACCCGTCACATCGAAACCAGGATTAAGTCCAAAAGGYGGATGTGGAGAAATAAGCTTTTGGTTTAAACATGTGCAAAATATYTTGAATCAGTGCCTTATCAATGTATCATTTGAATGAACTATCTAAAATATAATCAAAAAAATTTTTTGAAGCATTTTTTTTCAGCAGTAGCAACAAAAAACCTGATTTTGAGGAAAAACGCCTTAAGTTTTGAATTTATCCCCATGGGCTAGCAATGTTTTAGTTTCTTTACAACTGGGAAATCTTAATATACAAYTACTATTTGAAGTTTCCTCTATATAATGACATCAAAAATAACTCAATAAATTTACATAAAATTAGGATTCAGACCAAACAGGAATATATTATCGTAACCAACAAGACAAATGAAGTCGTATCTKTGGATAAGTTTATYATTTCAGAATAATCCAAGTATCAAAATGTWGCTTTTAAATCCAGGAATCTGAAAATGTAGTTAGGTCATTTTGTCCAAATTTGACTTATATGGCTGGTCACATTTAGACTCAGGCTTTTTGTCTGATACAGCTTTGCACMTGAAATCTAATTATGCCTCGTGAATCTGAAACATTCGAGTGTGAATGTTATAAACAACATTCTGACTGAAGATTATGCTGGTAAAGAAGCACAGATTTTATTTCTGAGGTGTGAACACTCAAAGCTGCTCAGGTGTGTGATTGTGTGCGTCTGTTCGCAGGAGCGAGACAGCGAGCGTCGGAGGCTGGAGGAGCTGGTGGAGGAGAACATGCTGCTGGAGATCGGACAAAAACAGAGCATGAACGAGTCGGCTCACCTGGGCTGGGAGCTGGAGCAGCTCGCAAAGAACCACGACAACACAGACACAGAGAGTACGACAACCCCCCCACCCATACAAAGACAAACACACACACACACACACACCGTTACTGAAACCTAAGGTCCGTGTCGTTTTCCAACTGCAGCTTTTCTCTTCTACAGCTCGCAAGTCTTTGGTCCACGAGCTCAACGAGTGCGTTTCCAGTCGAGTTCTGAAGCTGGAGAAGGAGAACCGGGAGCTGCAGACCTCCATAGAGAGACTGAAGGAGGAGAACGTCCTCCTGCAGGAGCAGCAGCTCCACACTCAGGAGCTGGACAGGGAGAACCAGAGTCTCAGCAACAAGGTGAGGGCAGTGAGCTGCATCTGAAAAACATCTGGAGCTTTGACAGGAAAACACACAGCAGCTGATGGGTTTGTGTTGGTTAGCTGGAGCGTCTGCAGGGATTATTGGACCAGGAGCGACTCACCAATCAGGACATGGAGTCTCTGGGGGAGGAGTTACTGAAGGAGAAACAGAGTCTGGAGCGAGAGATGCACGCTCTGCGGGCCGCCAAGGATCGACAGGTACTTCAGACTAGAGATCCACCGCTGCAGGTTTTTGAAGGCCGATACTGATTATTTTGACATCAGTCTAACCGATACGCCGACACGTGCAGCTGATTGTTTTTGGGCCGATTCTTGAAGCCGAAACTGCTTTTTCTTCCTCCATTAACATGATAAAAATAACTAACAAATGTTACACAAGTCTCAATTTAAACAAAAAAGTAACATTTATTAACTGAGCCTGGTCTGGTGCAGGCTGAGTGAAGGGCTGCCACACGGGATTTATTTTTTCAGCCATTTCTTTAAAAAAAAGATTTATTTTATCTAATACTACATTTTCTGATTTTATTTATATATTTATCAGATTAGTATCTTTTTTTACATAAAATAAAATTACCATGTTCTAATATCCCAGCATTTTTTATACAAAAACAGGAACACAGAGAAAAGGAGAGACACACACATACATCTTGCTATCTTTATGAGGACTTCACACACACACAGCGCTCACAGTCTTCCTCAGTCTGCACCCGTTTTTTTACACTGGGCAAAAAATGCATTTAAACCAGCTGGAGTTAACTTTAGATCTCAGTTTGAAATGTTCACCAAAAATAACCTGCATCACGACTTTTATACTGCGGTCAGACCAAACGTGATCTGAGCAGCGTCTGCCTGGTTCACATGGTGGACGGCAGCACTTTACTCGCTCTTATGAACGTAACAGCGAGAAAAGACGGAGAGCTTTTTATTTTAATCCAGCAGGGAGAAGAATAGAGGTGATTTTCTGCCTCCTGTGAGCAGCTCCAGCATTTTTTAAAAGAAAAACAACGTGGACACGCTAATTACAGTCCGATGCCAAAGTGAAAGTAAAAACATGGCGCTCCCATTTGAAAGTGAAACTTAAACACAGCTGTTCTCTCCCTCATAGTCCGAGGCAGAGGGCAGAAAAGCTAAATTAGACAGCTAAAACACATTAAAAGTTCATAACTCGCCCTTATTGTTGTTGGCACTCTGTCTCACAACTTTAGCAGTTGCTCTCTCCCAGGGAGGGGGCGAACACATGCGCTCGCATAATCAAAGAATGGATAAAAGGGAAAAAACACAAATATCAACCAAAAATATCATCTGGTTGATGTATCGGTCGACCCCTACTTCAAACACAGACAGACAGTTAGACAATAAATCACATCCATGGTGAACACGCTGTCCTCCTCAGATCTCGGAGCTGGAGAGCGAGAAGCAGCACCTGTCGGAGGCGGTGGCCTCCCTGCAGGAGCGCGCTCAGTCCAACAGCGAGGCCAGAGTACGTGAGGTGGAGGTGAAGAACCGTCTGCTGCACCAGAGCATCACAGACACCAGCTCCCGCCTGGCCAGCCTGGAGACGCAACTCAAAGTGGTGAGCGAGGAGGCCGAGAGGCTGAGGGACCGAGCGGGACGCTGCGAGGAGGCYGAGAGGGAGGTGGCCCGGCTGGAGAGGAGCAGGGACGCTCTGAACCGAGAGGTGATTCATGATTTTCACCTGATTATTATTGGGATGAAGGAGTTTCATTGTTTTTGTTTTTTTACCTGCAGGTTGCATCTCTGCGAGCGTGCAGCGAGCGCTCAGAGGCCCTGGACAAACAGGTGACCTCCTTCGAGCAGGAGGTGCACAAGCTGAAGAGAGAGAATGAGGAGGCTCAGCATGAGCTGCAGCGGCTGGCCAGACATGAAGCAGAGAACGGCCTGCTGTCCAAGGAGAACCTGGAGCTCCGCTGTTCCATGGAAAACCTGCGCTCCTCCTCCGCCCGCCTCCCAACACTACAGGAGGAGCTGAAGGAGGCGCAGAGGGAGACTCAGGAGCTGCACAGGAGGCTGGAAGAGGCCAAGGAGGAGGCGCAGGGAGAGAAGAAGAGAGCCGAGAGGCTGGAGGTGAACCTGTCTGCTCTGAACCAGGAGAAGCATCGTTTAGAGGAGGAGCTGGAGAGGAGCAAAGAGGAGCGGGGGGACATGGAGGGAAAGATGAGGGAGACYCAAAGCCGAGAGGAGGAGCAGAGGAGGGAAGTGGAGGAACTAAAGGAGGAGCGGAGAAGACGGGAGGAGGGAGACGAGGAGAGGAAGAAGCTCCAGCTGGACCTGGAGCAGTCGGAGAGGAGCAGGAAGCAGCTGGAGAAGGAGAGCTGGAGGATCCGCACGCTGCTGGAGACCAAAGAGTCCGAGCTGGAGGAGAGGGCCAGCAGGTTGGCCACCACCAAGAAGGAGYGGGAGGCTCTGAGGAAGGAGGTGGAGAGGTTAAAGGAGGTGTCTGTCAAAGCAAAGGAGCTGGAGCGTGAGAACAAAGAGCTGCAGAAACAAGTGACGATTGACAAGAGAACTCTGGCAACACTGAGAGAGGTGAGCCTGTAAAACACTGTTCACATGTTACACNTTCACATGTTACACAACATTATTCTGTTATCCTGTTCCTACAGTTCACATGTTACACATCATTATTCTGTTACACTGTTCCTACAGTTCACATGTTACACAACATTATTCTGTTATACTGTTCCTTCAGTTCACATGTTACACAACATTTTTCTGTTATACTGTTCCTACAGTTCACATGTTACACAACATTATTCTGTTATCCTGTTCCTACAGTTCACATGTTACACAACATTATTCTGTTATACTGTTCCTACAGTTCACATGTTACACAACATTATTCTGTTATACTGTTCCTACAGTTCACATGTTACACATCATTATTCTGTTACACTGTTCCTTCAGTTCACATGTTACACATCATTATTCTGGTATACTGTTCCTGCAGTTCACATGTTACACAACATTATTCTGTTATACTGTTCCTACAGTTCACATGTTACACATCATTATTCTGTTATCCTGTTCCTACAGTTCACATGTTACACAACATTATTCTGTTATCCTGTTCCTACAGTTCGCATGTTACACATCATGAATATATTCTGTTAAACTGTTTCTGCAGTTCACGTTACACATCATGAATATATTCTGTTAAACTGTTTCTGCAGTTCACATGTTACACAACATGAATATACACTCCTGATCAAAATCTTAAGACCAGTTAAAAAAGTGCAAGAATTTGCATTTTGCACTATTGGATCTTAAGAAGGTTCTAAGTTGAGCTTCACAATGTT